TAAAGACCTTCATTGCGTAATGTCCTGCAAAGCGGAAGTTTGTTGCCGCAAACATTTCACTCCAGTAAAGCTGCTGCGCTGCATCTGCCCGCGATCGGCGGCCAATGAACGTCCGCTTCCACTCCATTGTGACCTCGTCAAAATAAGAATATACAACCATACCATTGCAGTAATGCCGCGCCCTTCGACGTCCAACTACGTGTTTTGTTTCCATTTGCAACAGATTTTATCCACATACGTTGGGACGATTTTCATAGCTTTAAGCCTGAATTTCTCAACCAAGCATTGATTACCTACGACCAAGCCCCAGAAAGTTAATTAAGGTGATTCCAGCGGATTTACAGTCTCGTTTAATGAATCATATTTGAGGGTGAAGAATAAAAGTGGTGTAAATCCATAAATGCCCTAAAAAAATTGATTTTTTGTGAAATTGAAAAATAAAAAATATCTGAAAGGTAAACAAATATTTTATTCGTAATATGATTAAGTGAATTGAACTTTATATAGTAAAAAATCTCATGAACTGATAAGAAAATTATTAATTTATTATTTATATTTAATTTATCTATAAATTGAATAACTTCACAATAATCTAGACTTACGTCTGTCATACTGTAAACTTTCTATGTAAGCTTGTGATGAAATGGAGAAGAATTGGGTGTTAACTGTACCGTGTTATAGAGTATGAGTATGACTCTTAAACCACACACCAGTTATATAAAATTAATTGGTTCTCCATCACTCTCATATTTTCCCTCCTTTTTAGCACTGAAGTCAGTATGCTAGTCGTGCTCTGATATCGTATTTACATATTAATACAGGTTTTGCTCTGATCTAGTATTACAGGTAAGTTAGAAAAACTAGTTGATTTGTGAAAATAATACGTAATCCTTCATATCGTTCTTATTGTAAGTAAGTTACTTCCTCTAACACGTTGTGAGGTCAGAATAGCTGTGTATTGTAAGTCCTTGATATCGAAAAAATGTTTTAAGGCAAAACGTTTGTGTTTGTCCGTTCGCTCATGCGTAGAGCTAAAGTGAAACTAGTGGGACTACAACAGTTTATACTTTTCGCATATTTATTAATTTGCAACTTTCGAGTTCAATGGAACTGAGACCCGCGCAATTATCTTAAGCGTCCCTTATTCCATTCGTGGAAAGAATTTGAACAAAACATTTACAGCGTTTTTCGAGAAAATGTTTTTTTATAAATTCCATTCATTTCAAGCACAAATTAAGCGAAAACTATTCGTTTCTTCAAAAATTACACATAACCTTTTTTAAGACTTTATCTAAGGCAAATATCTCTATCTTCAATTCAGTAGTTTTGAAACTTTACCTTTTTGTAATTTTCGAAATTTTTGAAAAGTTCGCCGAAAATTGTAGTAGCTCCATTTGTTTACCGTCCCGCGATACATACGAGTAGAAAATTTAATTTAAAGAAGAAGTTTGGAGAGGTTCTTGAGAAAAAATGATTAAAAAATTAAAAAGTGCCTATATTTCGCTCAAAATTACCTGACAACTATTCATATTTTCGAAAATTTGCAAATAACCATATTTTAATATCTGTCTTTAAAGAACAGATTTCTCCAGAAAATATCTCCATCTTCAATATTTTATGTGTTGGAAGACACCAAAAAGAAATTGAACGTTTGAAATTTTCGAAAAATCAGGGATTCAAAGAACATGAGATCTGCACCATTCTCTTAAACGAACTTTACGCTATCAGAGGACTAAATTTAAAAAAAGAACGTGAAGCAGTTTTTGAGAAAATGTTGTTGAGGCTTTATGTACAGTGTCCTCAAAAATAAAAATATCCCTTTGAAACCCCAAAGCCCCAAGTTCGATCAGATCGATTGGGGAATATCAATTCTGGAGAAAATCGTCTAAACGGTTTACGCGATAGCGTTAACCACAGGCACATTTTGCCGTCAATCTATTTTTCGGTATCAAGGACCCTCAAATCATGGATTTCCCTGTCCCATGTGTTAGAGGAAGTAATTTCCTATATACCAGGTTCATTTCCGAAGTAATGGCTATTTTATATATTCCGAATAACCGCATATGCAGTTATTGCACTATATACATGTGAAAACATGATGAACGCAATACGGGATGCGACCAGCAGATGGCATCTGTGTGCATTGGTGCCATCTGTTTGCGTTCGTATCCCAGAGACTGCGTTCCGCGATGAATGCCACTTAAGTTGAACAGCGACCATATGTAAAAATCGCGTTTCTGCGTGGCAGAGGCGCAAGTGGCTATTACCGAACCCTGTTTATTAGATGAAAGGCATTAAAATATGGCAGAATTAGCCGCATACACTGGTATGTCTCATTGACAGTCTTCCGAATTTTACGGAACGTCCTGAAGATGCGCAAGGCTTGTGAAGTGCTACATGCTTTACCTGAGGAGCAGAAATCGACTTGATATGAGACATTCCGTATTGATCTGGAGCGATTACAATATTAAGGGAATACATGTTCAATCGCTTTATTGCAATTGGTGATACGTGAGCCAGAATGAACCAGAACTAAAGATGCAATCAAATGAATGGTTTCGTCGCAGTTTACCGCTAAAACGCAAGTTTCGACAAAATCCCTCACCCACGAAAGTCATGCTTATTTTCGCTTATGCCAGCCAAGGTATTCTCGTGTGTCACCTTGTTTGTGAGGGCTGTCACTTGTCAAACTGTCACTGCCACGTACTAGAAATCACTTCTGCAAGACATTCTTCGTCGTGCAGTCGAAACGGGAAGTACTGAGGGCACGTCCAGGGCTTCCTAACAGGACAATTTTCCTCCATGATAATCCAACGAGCCACACCGCAGCCTGTGTCCAGAACCTTGTGCGGCGGTTGAGGTGGGAGATCTTGGAACACTCTTCGTACTCCTCACATCTCAGTCCATGCGACTTTGATATCATTCCAAAAATGATCTCGCGCTGCGTGGGAAGCGTTTGGCAACCAGGGAGGACATCCTAACAGCGCATGGACGAGAGAAGACGCGCATAAACGCAGACGCGACGGAATTCAGCTCCTTCCTCGTCGTTGGCAAAGATGTGTGAACGCCTTGAGGGATTATTTTGAAGGTTGTTAACTGCACGAGTACGAGAATTACGCGTACTATTTTGTTTTGTGGACATGCAATACGAATAAAAAAATAGTATATATTTACGCATCTTTTAATGTCCATTACACATAGCGCCTTGTGACCGTATCCCAACTTACTATCAGCATTGCGAAGAACATTCCTGAGACTTAGAGTCGCAATCTTAATTTTTCTGTAGCTTTATTGATTGATAAAAATGCTTGCTATGACTTCTGAAATGACCCCATATATATATATATATATATATATATATATATATATATATATATATATATATATATATATATACTGTTTGTGAAAATTGCAACACCAAGGAGAATTACAGAACTGTATCTGCATTTAACTTTAAGAATTTAGTACGGTGTGAAAAAGCCATGCACTAACTACAATTTTGAAGATAATTTTTTTGTTAATAAAACGTGTTTATCAAAGACAGTTCATTAAAAGAGGTCTTGTTCAATATTTCGAAAATAAAACTCATTGAATTCTCATGTATTTTTTGCGTAATTTTAGATGAAACAGGCGCTTTTAAAACAATTTTCTGAGAAATGGTTTCAAATTTTGTCTCATTTTTATCCTCGTATTTAGCAAAGAACTGCAAAGATTGTGGTGATGATCATTTCGGAATTGTATATTCGAATTTCGCGCGCTTCGTTTCAGACTTGCCAGTTCGGAAAACAGCCACGCAGAGGTTTCAAATTTCTTCCAATTTATTCCATTGTTGCTGATCATGATGATTGTATGATGAAGATAATATTATTATGAAAGGAAATAGATTGAATGATTGAATACATTTTTACTTAGAACTTACAAACACACTTCTATACATTAAGACGTTTTAATCGCTGATTATGGCATTAAAAAATTGAAAGCTGACTTCAAATGTAATCAGGGTAGACTTGTGTGAAATTATTCTTGCTTTTCTGTATTATGTTCTGAAAAAACTGTAACATTTAAATTTATTCATGTTCGTTTCATTTCTAAAAGCTATAAATTACCACTCTTCCTGACAATGGAAATATATGCAGATAAGCCCCAGAGGCGCTTAATTTGAATGAGACTTTTTCACGTTATAACTGACTTTTTAGTATAGCAGAAATGACATTATTTTTATACTACGTAATTATTTTCAATCATGCAAGAAAGTATGTGATGTTGTAGCACCTCTAGTTCTTCTTCGAAACATCCGTCCGTCTGAGAATAGCTTTAGCTTCTTCTCTAGAACACAAACTATTCACAGGACTTTTGCCAAAATGAATATTCCCTGAACGATTTGGCCCGAAATAAATTCTTGCAATTTTGAAAAGAATTCTTTGAATTTTCATGGTAGTGCCTTGTTTACAAGAATCCCCTAGGTAATTTTTAAAAATTTCTTAAAAGTATCACCAAATTTTTGTTCAAAGTTCTTACAAGAATGGATTGAAATACCCTTATAAATATGGCATTTTCCGATTTTCACTGTTAACTCGAAATTTTCAAAAACTGCATAAGCTTCAAAATTTTCGGGTTATCCTCTTAAAATATCATTGAAGATAGATATTTTTTCTTCAAACGAAACTTGATCTCCACAATTAATTCTTTAGTTCATGTCATGTACTGTTTAAAAAAATATCAGTAGTTTTCGTGCAATTTTGAATAAAATAGGGGAATTTTAAAAACAAGATTTTCTCAACAACAGTTCCCATTTTTTTCTTAAAACTTATTTTACAGATAGTGCTACATTCACTGAATAATGTGACGTAAAAACCTTTTTGAAGTATTCTTTTATTTTTTCAAAATTTACGTTTGGGGTCTTTTAAAAATATAGTGTCTTTCGTCGTCGTCTTTGTTGATTCCAAATTCGTCGTGGCGAGGTCGAAAGTCATACATGGTCGAAAAGCGAACTGGGCGTCGTTCTCGATTGTAATCGTATCGATCAGACAGCGAGTATTGTGTGTATAGCTGTGTAGTGATACTCGCGTAGATTATTTGTTAAGGGCAATAAACTTGCGTTAATGTGAATCAAAATTATATTATTGTAGGAAGTCAATTTGAGTTCGATGACTAATCGAGGAAATTACGATATTAAATTTGATGTCTGCTCTGTAACGTGTTGTGTCAGCCATATTAGATTCATTACTCCTTTGGCTCACTAAGCCTCAGTCAGTGATTTAACATTTTATACGAAGTGGGTTCTTTAAGTTTTTTGATTAATTACTAAAGTGAACTTAAAACAACAATTGGTGTGCCAATTACTCGTTCTGGTGATTTGTTGTGAAGTTCCCCATTTGAAAGGAAGCAGTTCGAGCGAGCGAGATGAGCTTCCTATTGTAAGTAACTTTTAGTAGTATTGTTGTAGTATTGAAATAATTTACTAGATTTTTTATAAAATATAGCCACCTCTTGGGTGCGAACAACAAGCTTCATTGTATGCAAGTCAACTGTTTTTTCGTCTCGCTATATGAAGTAAGAATTCGTTTTGCTTCGTTTCTTGCAGCGGGGGGCGATCATCCAAGACGTTTAAACCTAAGAAAAATATTCCAGAGGGTACTCATCAATATGACTTGATGAAACATGCTGCTGCAACATTGGGTTCAGGGAATCTAAGGTTAGCTGTTATGTTACCTGAAGGGGAAGATTTGAACGAGTGGGTAGCTGTGAACAGTAAGTGGAGTTAATGTTCAAAACATATTGGTGAAACATGTTCGTCTATTGTTTCCAATTTGTTTTAATTGTTTCCTTTTTTATAGCTGTTGATTTTTTCAATCAAATCAATATGTTGTATGGCACAATCACCGAATTTTGTACAGAAGAAAGTTGCCCAATTATGTCAGCTGGTCCAAAATATGAATATCATTGGGCTGATGGGCATACTGTGAAGAAACCAATCAAATGTTCTGCCCCAAAATACATTGACTATCTTATGACTTGGGTGCAAGACCAACTTGATGATGAAACACTTTTTCCTTCTAAAATAGGTAATAAATGAACTTAAGTGAATCTTTATGATGTTTGGAATGGTTTTGTTGTACCTGTTTTCAATAATAACGTGCAAGTTCATGTGTGCATCAAAACTAGTAATGGCATATTTTAAATACTAAATTAAGTTTTAACATTTAAAGGCAATCAATATTCCAACTGTCCTACGTTTTCATTGTGGGGGAGGGGGGTAGTTAATGTAAGCATGTTGATGTAAAGATAAATCTGAAAAATTTTTGTTATGCCAAAATATGTTGGTGTGCTCTTAGATATAGAAAGGGCTGTGCAATTGAGTTAATAAAATATATCTAATATGTTCAACAAAAATTACTAAAATATTTCCCTACTTCAAATGAGGTTGCATTAAAAATGTTGTGGAAGTTATATTATTGAATAGACATACTGTATTTACCCGAATCTTCGACCCTGATTATAAGACAAGCCCCTAATTTTGAAGAGACCTTCAGAGAATTTTAAAAATGTTAAATTAATTCTTACTATTCAGACAATATAAAATTACAAATTGTCTTATTGACTAGAAAATTGCTTTGTTGATGAGAATGTTAAGACTTATTGCTGAACTATCATTTTCTTGTTCCTTAAAATCATATTAAAGGATTTTGTCACTACCCTTATCATCTTCACATGTATCAATGTTTCTTTCTTTTTAGTCCTCCTTCCATGCTGCAATATCTTCTGCCTTTTTAGGTCATTCAGAAAGTTTTGCGGACTAAATTCACGTTTTTCATAGTTTTTCATGAGATGCCACGTAACTCCATTAACACCATTCCCTCTTTAACTGTTCAAAATGCTGATTTGCAATTACCGGGCGTCGAACCGGGATTAAGTACTATGATATCTCAGCATTCATTTTCACATTACTTTTCATTTGATATAATGCCATTAGTTTTGAGATTCTCTCTTTACCAGCCCATTAAATAATTAAAAAAATAGGTTTGAATTGCCGGACAAATTCGCTGTGGATGCTGAAAATATGAACGCAAATATAATTATGTGTTGTAGATACACACAATATTTTTAGTCCTCGCTGTTTGTTTTTCTTGACGTGGAATGACAATGAAAAAACTTAATCCCTAATTGACTACACTTAACCTGCAAATATAAGACAACTCACCTTTTTCAACAGATATTTGGGAAAAATCCTCGTCTTATATTCGGGTAAATACGGTGAATTCAAATTCCAAATTGATCATGGGTTCCTCTTATTTTGTTTATTTTAATATTATTTCAATAATATCTTACATATAAAATAGCATGGATGATCAAAAGTAATTCTTATGAAACAGGTGTGCCGTTTCCGAAAAACTTTCTTTCAATAGCAAAAACTATTTTGAAGAGATTATTCAGAGTATATGCACACATATATCATCAACATTTCACCGAAGTTGTGCAATTGGGAGAGGAAGCTCATTTAAATACATCATTTAAGCATTTCATTTTCTTTGTGCAGGTGAGTTACCTTTATTATCACTATTTTGATCAAAGTTCTGTGTTAATATTAATTGATGTGTTATGATAATTTGAATGTTAAGTTAAAGAATTCACAGGAAACCAAGGTACCTTTGCTTTTGTGGAATGTATGGGGTTTCCAGCAAGGTTAAAAAACATAATAAACCATTTAAATGTGTCAATATTTTTTTAAATATATTTCAAATTTTCAAAATTATCATTATTTATAATGTTGTGTATTGAAATATTAAACTCCAATTCATTTGCTGTTAGGAGTTATTCATTTCAATTAGAAGCATCTACAAGTACAAAAGATAGTAAGATATTAAGCAGGTCAAACGATACAATACAAACGTAATTTGCTTGCATTGCTGCAAACTCCAATTTCATGTCAGTGCACCCACAAATAAGTATGCAAACCAGAGTACAAAATAACATTAAATTATATTGTCTTGTGAGTTTGTTAGATGGTACACATTTGTTATTTTATTACTGAAACATAATAATGTTGACAAAATAATTGTTACCAGTAGGGAACGGAATTTATTCTAATAAAAATGTCAAATATGTGCATGTAGTGAGTACCTAAATTCTCATAAATATTAATGTAATATGTCCACAAGCTGGGCTAGCCATTTGAAAATGGTTCCTTTAATGATATTAATATTTTTAATATAATTATACTTCAATTTAAACACAATCCTTTGGTGTAAATCAGCTGTTACGTTGTTATCCAATCGGAAGCTTGGATGTCACTGTGGTGATGTTTAAGCTTCCAATTGGATGATCCCATAACAGCTGATATCCCCCATCTAATACAAAGACTAGAGACTACCTATACATGATGCATTTAACACGACTGCCACCTTGAGCACATTCTGTATCGTCCAGCCATGATTAGGCCTTCTATGTACATAGTTTCTTTTATAACAAGCTGTTTTGCTCTTCCCTCTTTGCAGACTATGTATACATTTATATTCTTCGCAAGTTTTATATAGATAAATAAACTATAATAAACCTGACATTAAATGTTTTTATTAATGTGGAGGTAGATTCTTTGGGCTAATCCCAATTATATATGAAGATATTTTTTGAAAATCATGTAAGAATAAATAGAAAATATGTATTAAAAAAATTAATGCCCCCATAGAATCATTTTCAAGATTTCAAACCCCAAATATCACAGATCAGGCCTTAAAATGTATTTGGAGTGGTTAAATGAATGTTCTACAGAAATGATTCAACTCTTGTTTCATCAAACATTACCAGTTTTATAGTAATGTGAAATGTGTACATGGAATATATAATTTGTATAATGTTTATGAGGAATGTCTAGTTTAGTTTACATGAATATTTTTACTGCTTAGCCAGTCACGGAGTGGGGTAAGGGGCTAAGGGGGCCATGTTCCTCCCTAAATCCATCATAGTTTACATTGCCTCTGCAGCATTATTGACAAGGAATTTCTAGGGTTTGAATCCTGACTAGTGGAATTTCATCACTAGATGAAGATACCTAGATATATAGAGATTATTATGAGGAGGATACACTTTGTCAGTTACTGCTTTACCACAGCTGGCAATACAATTGAGAATTAATTCCAAGTATGCATTTTGTGAGTGGTGTTCTTCTACAGTTAGCTCTTTTGTAAATGGCTCCATCTCTTCTTTAAATGGTATCACCCTGCATAATGTCCATTTGCTTCCCTTCTTAGAGTAACTTCTCTCTGGGGAGATACCTTGAGAAGGAATAAACGTGCAATCCAATGTGTAGATTATAGCCAGTTTTCTTGTTGTGGCAGGGAAGGAGCGCGATCCCTTGTCAGGATATAACATACTGTATTTTGAGGATGAATGATGAACGTGGGAAAGAACATGCAAGGGGAATATTTAGGGGAGCTTGTAGGGAAAGGCAGGGATCCGGCAGAGTGAAGATTTAGTTTGTCTGGTGATCCCTTATCCTTGGAGAGTGTTCAGAAGCCAGAAATGTATGTAAAATTAAATTGATAAGTTATTAGGCAGGTCATGACAGGTCTACAATGCTTCAATGTACAGTTCAGGTTCTGGCCTGAACTATGAATATATTTTTCACTTTTAAAACAATGATATACAAAGTGCAGAATGTTTGCACAGTTCCAACGAATGGTTGTTTATATTATTATTGTAAAGTTTCTTCAAGGTTTTTGTTTTGTTTGGACAATATTTTCATGATTTTGTGCAGAGGTTTAAAATGTTACCACATTAGTAGGAAGTGGAGCAGGATTTGTTTTCATCAATTGAAGGAAAAGACTTACATAACATAGCGAGTTGTTGTTGTCATTTGTCTCTACCAAGCAACACACTTGATAAACAAGCAAACTGCTTTAGGAGACGGGGGAGACTAGATCAAAGGCTTCTCAGGACCATAGATTGTGTGTTTTGTGCAGTAGAATTCATGATTTGTTTAGGATATTAGCAGTGATAACTTCTTAGTATTCAGGAAAATTGATAGGTTGTTTCTAACTGAATTGAAAGTTCTAAACCTGAAACATGAGAATCTTGTTATTAAATTGTTATTTTTGTTGTTGAGAAAAACTATAATTTCTCATAATAAGAACCGGTCGAAGGAATATGTCATATCGGTGACTGACAATTGAGTCATTATACTTGGTCATCACAGTATGCATTTCAGCAAAAGCCTCTCCCTCCCCCCCTTTTTTTTTATCTTCTTTTCTCTATGTGTCTTTTGTGTTTTAAAAATTAACAAACTTCTAATTGTGAAATATATTTCAGGAATTCAATTTGATTGATCGCAAAGAACTTGCACCTCTTCAAGAGCTGATCGAGAAGCTGACTGCCAAGGAAGGCCGATGAAGTTTCTGTCTATTCTTTGGAGCCTTTCGTTTGATGTGCAGCACTTGTGATGCAATTCTGTTGTAATTGAAATTGTTACATAAGGTTCTTGTTGAATAGTCTGTTGGGAAAACATGTGATGTTATGATGAGGCCCTCGAATTTTTTTACATATGCCTCTCTACAGTTTACATAAGTAACTAGCAGGTTGTAGGTGGCATTCTATCAATGCCTTTATTTTATTATTGTAACATATGCTCCATTCTGTTAGCATCGAACAGCTAACATTTTCTCTATGGATATTGAGAAACAAATCTCATTTTTATTCAAATTTGTAATGATAAGAAGAATGTGAATTGGTAATATATATTTTTCTAGGGATTTACAGAAAAATTCTAATATTTGTTTATTTAATGAAACCAATTTGGCCTGGGATGAACAGAAAAGTTTTTCATTTCATTTGTAGGACTATAGGGAGGTTATAAAGTGGAAGTTATGTGATACGTGGCAATTTAATTTTATTTACCAAAGACTTTGTATGACTATCTGGCCAGGAATGATCTGGGTATGAAAGTTTTTGTGGGTTCCTTTTATTTATGACATTATTATAAGGTTTTTGTTGGAAGATGAGGTTTGCTCCTCATGATGAGTTTATGTAGCAGAATAGTTATTTATTTCCTTATAGATTTTCTGCGAATTTATTGACATCTCAAAATGCCAGCTTTATAGTTTTTTGCTGAGTTGAGCTTTATATAGCCTGCTGAGTTTTAGTTCAAAGTTCAAATTAAGCTTTTATTTTGTTCCAACATTACAATTTCAAAAATTTGTAGTCAGGTTGTATGTTCTTTACAGTGTAACATATTCCATTACGAAATGGAAGATGATATTGCAAGGATCTCCTGTGAGAATGTATGGTCCTTATTTTTACTTTTTTACTTAGGTTTTAAGAAAATATTTTATATCAAAAACTTTTGATAATGTGACATTTGAAGTTAATTAAAAATGCAGTATAATTCATTGAGTTTGGCAACAAGTCATGTTGATTGTATTGTTCTCGTATTCTAATTTATAAATCGTGTAATTTCAGTATGAATGTGTGATATTTTTTGTTAAATGCAATTTATATGAAATCACCTTGAAATATGTTGTGAATGTGATGTATGAACTTGTTTCATTGTAATTCACATTGAAACATAATTTACAAACTTTGTTGAAATATTCAGTCTTTGACTGCTACTGTTAGTTCACTTAAATAATGTAGACATCCAAAACGGAAGGATAATTTTTCAGTATTTTCTCAAGAAATATTACACTTAAGCCCTTATTGTATCATGACTTTCTTGTGAAATATTTTGAGAAGTTACAATGTCAGATTATGCTGTATCAACATTCCTTCCATGTGTTGCAGGGTACTTGAATAGAAGAAGTGGTCATTATTTCACTAGATAATTGTATCAATTTCTTCTGAGCTGTGTAGGTTGGAGGATCATAATCATATATTGCTTAATTTCACACACGCTTGAGCTAGTTCCAGCTTATGTTCACTACGTCGCTACTGATTAATTGTTATTTGTGGCATGATGTTGTTGTGTTAATGGTTTTCTCTATTGTCGTCACATTTAGTAAATTACTGCTGCTTGTACATAATGTATTTATTTACAGAGATCTTATGTGATTGTTGTGTGTATAGCTTATGTGAAGCAAAATCATGAACAATGGAAAGTATTCTAGATTGGCATGTTTATTTGGCTTGAACTGTGTGTTGGGACTGTGCTTTATTCTCTCATTCGTCCATGTAATTCTCATACGTTACTGGATGTAAATGATCTTGTGCTTCAAGAAATTCTGTAGATATAAAGGAAGATTTTTTAATTACATTATTATAATTATTATTTAAAAAACAAATTTAAGATCTGGATTACATGTTGTTAAGAGAACACAGAGGCAAAGTGACAAGTTATTTAGATGGTGCTGAATATTTGCTTTTTCAAGAAATAGTATAAAAGAAGCAAGAAGATTAAGCTAAGGATACCAGATTGTAACCTAATTTTTCATCTTTGCTCCTGTACTTCTCTTGACCATTAAAGTAAGAGAGAAAGTAAAATATTTATTTGTTATTCATTTAGTTGGAATGTAGATCATTGACTCTATTATTAAGTAGCATAATAATTATTTGTACTATTGTCCAGAAGTTCTGTTTGTTTATAAAGGCAAATTAAAAGATTAGATTTTCACAACTCAAAAATGGTCACAATTTAGACAAATGAGGCATCAATGTGCACTAGGCACTCTTACACAACATAAAACCATGCCCACTAGTGAAAATGTATTCTCGGAAGGGAGGATCTGTACTCTGATATAGATTTGTTCGGGCAGTTTCATGAAGTGGCAAATTAAACTGGATATTATGTGACACTTCCTATTCCTGAAAACAGCATGATATAATAGTCTTGACTTTTCTGCTACCAAAACTATTAATCATAATTAGTTGTTGATTAAATATTATTTATTGGTTATAATTAATAGTTAATTATAATGCAATGATTATAATTAAGTATTAATTATAATTTTCTGCCATTTAAATAAATGAGACATGAGAATGAATGTATTTTCAAGTGTGTGTTTTCATTTACACATGCATATTTTATTTGTAAATTCCAGTTCATCTTGTATCTTTGAAACTAAAGAATTTAAAATTTTTCAAAATACTTGAGATTTCTGAAGAATTTTTTTGTGAAGGCGCTCCATTTTTTTGCACCAACCTTCTTGACCTGACATTATCTGGGCATGCCTGAGTTACTAATGCTTTCATTTCAAAGTAATGGCAAGCAGCATATGCTTTAAATTTGGCTTGGAAGCTCTCTTTCCTGCAGACTTGGAATGTAAGTAGATGAGATTTTTAAACATGGATTGTAGCTTCTCCTTGAGATCACCACTGAGCAGTAAGTCTTACATCTCCTTTCTGCATTGAAAATTAAATCATTATCTCTGTGTTATTCAGAAACAGGCTTCATAAGCCCAGAAAAATGGTACAAGAACCAAGATGGTCTCAAGTGTTTCCATCGATATTTATCTAGCAGTACAGCAACAAGTTGGACACAAGGGCTACCTCATTGTGACATACGAAGAGCATGTGGGAATTTGCCTCTAGGAATGTTACAAGGTCCATCATGCTTGCACAGCCATTATGGCTGTGCAAACTTGTATCCACAGTGTAGTGCCCATTTATTACTTAAAAGCTTATTATTTTTCAGTTTTATATTATTTAAACAATCACAGCAGTTGTGCTGAGATGACAGGCTTACATGTGTATATGAGAAAGTAATACTGGGCACAGTTGAGTAAAACCATTGGGAGTATTAAGTACTTAATTATTATCCTATACAAACCTTTTTTACTGCTTTTGTTTAAACAATAAATGCAGTTATCCTGCCATGACATGTGTACCTACTTGAGAAAGTAAAAATGGCCACAGCCAGATAAAACCAACATATTTAGGAATATTTAGTACTTATTTATGGTTAACTAGCTGACCCAGCAATTCTTCACTATTGCAGTGTGTGAAATAAATACAACTCAAAACAATTAATTTATTCATTGAAGATTAAATACACTTTACTATATTACTCTACACTTTAAAAATCAAATATTTGAATACTGTTGTACACCGCCAGCATTTGATTTAGATATCCTGTGATCATAGTTCAAAAAGGTGTATGTAGATTGCACTTCTAACAAGGTCCCCTGAGGACAGCACAGAGCCCAAATCGATTAACTTTGCAAAAACTATGGCCCTACATGCCCAATTTAATTCAAATTGCTCCTTAAATACTCCTGTTATTAGTTAAAAATTGTTAGTATTTCAGCAAAATCGGTCAAGTAGTTTGTATATCTATATGCGACAGACTTTCATATGTTCTCTTTTATTTATATGAAGATTTATTACCTCCTAAATTATTTTTACTCTTGCCATAAAATGCAGTTGTGCTGGCTTATGCATCAACCTTTCACAACCAAATATAAAAAAGCCTCCCCCTGGTATCAACATGCTGCAAAATGGGGTGGAACATTTCAACTGCATCAGGCTATGGTGAGGAGGAAACTGGCAACATATTCATTTTGTGAACATTTTTAATTTGAACATTTTATTCAAGAAATAATTGTATGGTAGCTTCTCCACGATTTTGCATAGACTAAAGCTACTTTTCTTTTTTTTTTCCTTGATAAATTCATTTAAAAATTACAACTGCACATATTTTTTCACATTATTTGTGTTTGCATTTTACCTGAATTGTTTGCAGTTTTTGAAAATTCAGAATTCAAACAAAAATGAAATTGTGCTATTGTTAAGCGTCTTGTGCTCTGCCCAAGAAAAAAAGTAATCCAAAAATTTGAAGCTGTTGTTGAAAATTTAAGGCTTTTTGTAAAATATCCCCAAAAATAAAAATATGTCTCAATTTTGAAGGGCTTTGAGTCTGCCAGATTGTTCAGAGAATATCAATTTTGGAGAAAATCATTTGAAGATTTCAGGTACTAGTAATGACCATGGATGAAGAAAGCAAGGTATTTTTCTGAAAACCAATTTTTTCATATCAGTGACCTACAAAACCTGGATCTGACTATACAATGGTTTAAGGAAGTAATTTACTATATTTAGAAACAAGATTTGTCTACTTTTTCAATATAAGGGCCCGATAGTGAGTTTTAGTAGATCACTGCTCAAGAGCGAAGGCGCATACTTACGATTTGCATTGATATTATTGTAATGGTAAGCGAGTCCGTAGGTTACTTAAAAAAAAAAGTCTATTTCCACTGCTTTAATATTGAGTCTACTAGAAAAAGGTTGATTTGGGTAAGTGTATAAAGGTGGTTAATTACTATAGAAATCTATATGCTTATTAAGTGTGAAAGACATGTTTGAGTTTTGCATTCATTTAATTTTAATGATCGTAGATAAATCAAGTTGATGCAGTAAGTAATATCAGGGTGTGCCAAAGTAAGTATTGTTAGTAAGAATTACTAAAACCGTAGGTACATAGTCGAGTTCTGTTTCTATTAATAATAATTATACCTAGAAAATAACGTCAGTGTTCACTCATTCAATCGATATTTCTAGTTGTGAATTGAGACACTGAGCCAAAGCCATTTATGACTGCAGTAAAATTGGCAGACAGCTATATGTTTATGAACTTACAGGGCTTCCATAATTGTGTCTGAATATAATCTTAATTATCCCTAAAAGTTTACATCATTTTATTATTAGATTAGATTTTGGTTGCATTTCTGTTAATGGCAGATTACTCACTGGCATTGTGAAAAATTGCTATAGGAGTTTCCAGGAATCCTCTGTCTTTGGACAAACGGAGGATTACTGATGGAACTTTCCCACTAATGACATAGCTTGTATTAAAGGTCATTAATGAACAATTACTATTTGTACTATTGTATGTTGTATGTTTTAAAACGATTAGTTGACTAAAATTACTATTGTATTTTTTAAAACGATTAGTTGACTGAGAGAGCTATTAGGTTCATTAAGAGGTTTTGGATTGTTCAACTTATGTTGGTGGATTAGCTTTAAAATAATGCGTTTTCCCTCGTGCGCTACGATCGGTAATGAGCAGAGCTGTGATTTGTAAACAATACGAGTAAAAACTGCGAAATATGCGCATATATATTTATTTGGGAATATATGCAATTAAAAAAGGAAAATGCGAGAGATAGTGTAATATAATGTGCAAGTGTAAAAAAAAAGTGTAATGTAGAAAAATGATTTACAGAAGAAAAAAAGATAAGGACATAAATTGTTAAAAGTGACAAACATTAGGTCAAGGGCTTAATTTTGAAGAACACTGATTTAAGAAAATAAAGGGAGATTAATGTACATTTCACAAAGTTAAAAATACAGGTATTGCAACAAAAATATGACTTCCTCTCATTTCACTGGCCTGACTTAAATACCACACCCCGTTTGCGCCGTGTGTGGGCACGCGTAGGCGCTCAGCTGATGCACATTTCATTTCGACTGATTCTGCCGATGACAACGTGCTTTCAGAGCGACTTCGCACGAGTCTGGCGAGCGGCAACGCTGATCCGTGGCTATGGCAACGTAAACAAATGCTTGGAAGCCCATTGCTTTAGAGTAAGTCACATGATGTACCGTAATAATAAGAGAACTGTCAGAGCCGCTTACACCGGCGCCGGTTCATTCGATGATAAAAAGCGGGGGACAATGTTTTGTTTCCACGGTCATTCTCCTAGTGAAGATAGTGCTGCTGTTGTATTTTCGCGCGCGTTTTGAAAATAGTTTACTTCGCCGTTCTCTGAAAATGTTGAAATAAACTTTAACCAAATTAATAATTATAAAAGTGGGGTTAGGAGCCATTAAAAAAATATGTTCAGAAAAATTTAACTAAAGAAGAAGGGGAATGGAGTTTTGAAATGGAACATTCATCAGGAAAAGGAGAGAGTTATGTGTTATACAGGAAGAGGTAAAGCAGAAAAAGCAAAATATAATTAAAATAAATATCTATCATCAATGTTTTAATTGTAGGAAAATGCTGAAAAAGTTTTGAATTGCAAATTTCGAAAATGGGATTAGCGCTATACGCTTAAACGTCCTTTCTGTTATCCAACAACAAAATTAAATCAAAAAGAATAGAGCCGTTTTTTAATGTCCCAGGGACTCCGTGTAAAGTGCCCGCAAAATAAAAATGTAGGTTTCAAATTATAGGGCTGCCACATCAGTCAGATCGATTGAGGAATATAAATTTTGAAGAACATCCGCTGAACGGTTTAGCCGATTTAGCGTTGTTTACAGACGTTTTACCATCAATCAATTTTTCGGCATCAAGGACCCATTAAACTTTGATTATGACTACACCACGTGTTAGAGGATTTTTTTTTCAAATTTATCATCTGGAGTTATCCAATTTGTCGTTTGCCAGGGGTCAGTAATAAGAGCTTTTCTGACGAAAATTCGACATTTTCTCGCACAGCATTACATAAGTTTCTCTCTACCGCGGTGGCGATTGAATGACACTCTAAATTTACCGTTGATGGCATGACACTCTAAATTTTCCGTTTCATTTTATCTCTTTCTCAAAGGTCGTATACATATTCCGTGTTTGGTATGTATCGCGTGTATATAACTGTCAGTATAGTCAATCATATTGTGAATAATGTTATGTAATGAAATTTACTTAATGTTTTTTTGTAAATATGCAACCAATCAATAAAAAATGTTTTTCATAGAATCGGTAATGTAATTAAAGAACGTTAACAATGTTCCATACATATTAGGTGTTTTGCTCTTTTTGAAAGGAAGAGAAAACATTGTTTTTGCTGCCTTAAATGAGTTAAAATTGTATGTCCGACATTTTTGTTAGTCATTACCTATTCATTATTTTTTATTTATAATTGATTTATATTCCCTTTGCACTTGCAGTACTGCAGGTTTCACCTTCTTAGTGTTACACGATGTTAGAAATCCTCGTCTTTCAGCCGCTTTTCCTGTTTCTCCCCACTTCCATGGCCCTCTGCACAAAGAATGTAACGGATATCTCAGTTAATTATCTATGTTATTTACTCATTAGTGATATTGACATTACTGATGTTATTACTTAGTTACTTACTACCAGCTAATGTTATAAATACCTATTACTAATCTTATAATTACCTGGATAGTCATAGTTCTCAATGTAGATTCTTTCGTTAGATCTTTTTCTATGGATATTATTTTTTTCTATGAATATTATGTGCATAAACAGTAAATGCAAAATTTTGTAGTTATTTCGATCAAATGTGAGACACCGATAGATCTCCATGTGTACTTCAGAAAACCTGGATCAGATTCTGAGTTACATACCTTACGCAAGAAGACACCAAAAGAAGAGACTGACGACTTGTGAACTCATTAAACGAGTTTTTCCTCGACAAACAAGAAGTTCGAATATTTACATAAGATTGCCCCTTGTTTTAGTTTCCAAACTTTTCTCTCCGTATGATAGAGGAAAGTTAAGTAAGAGAGAAATTCTTATTTTTTAAAATAATTTTCTTCCATATCTGAGCACTTGTAAGAAGCGTGCGCAATAGCCATTGCAAACCACACACGCTGCGGCCGCATCCGTGGGAAGTTACAAGCAGGAAATTCTTTAATGATGCAAATCCATTTTAATCTTACTTGGTGGTAGCTAATAATTTCATTGCCTTTGTACGCTTTCACTTTCCACGAAATAGCAAAGATGGTTGGTTAACAGTATGAGAACTAGACAGCAGTTAATGTAATTTTCAGTGCTATAATTCCTGCGTATTATGACCACTCTACACATTATCTTCCGAGACTCAGTCATATTTATCTCGGAGAGATTAACGTGTGTCGTTATGTCGCTTTTTTCGGCTGCATCCCTTGGTGAGACAAGGATAGTTACATATTGAATTTTAAATTATGGGGTGAGAGGATGATGATGAGGGATGAAGAGACAATCACAAATACGACCATGCGTACGCAGGACTGAAACCTGCAGCCTCCTCGGCGCAGACAATAGCTGCAATGGGGGCCAGCATCATTATTATTATGTTTATTCCTCTAATTCACGATTCAAGATGTTTCAAGACTGTTGAATCTCCGGGTTGCAGCTTCCTAAAGAGCAGATGTAGCGACTGTCGATGAAAAATTTGCGCAAAATGTGGGCCGTTCTCCCCCCCCTCCAAAAAGCAATATCTTGTCTAAATTCCCAGGCCATTCAAAAGACTGGGAAGGACAAGTTCTTACACAAATTTTGTGAAACAAATCCCAGAACTTTGATAACTATCGGGACTACATGTGCTTTTGCACTCCACATTCAGCTGATCTCGATTTCCAAATTCTTGTATTTTAGACGTTTCCCTGCCTCTTTGGTTACGACATTTTTATCGCACGGCACAGTATTATCTCCAAATACTTTTTTCTCCAAATCTAATGCACACAAGATATTGTTATTCGATGTTTTTGCCGCTATCATGCAATCAGTTTGAATTTGTTGGTATACAATATTACACACAGTCCAACGGACGTCACTGGTTTTGGTGAGTATTCGTACCACTTAGAGCATGTGATTAAAGCTTCGAAGGGTTACAGTTCTGCCAGTGGTGGTAACTATGTTGCTTCAAGTATTCGGTCTTTGGTGGAATTGAGAATTCGACAAGCTGAGATGTTAAGG